CAAAACGACCTAACAAAAATGACTGAGTACTGCACAAGCACTCGGTCGCGTCCTCGTGATAAGTGAAAGCTTTCTTAGCTTGAGCCTAAACGATAACGTCTATAGTACATTCCTTTAACTGTGGGTGCACTGTAGATCATATTGAAATTAATTTCGGTCTGGTATTTTTGATGCACTCAGTCTTAGAGACTTCAAAAGATCAGGAGTACACAAATGGGTAACATCACATTTTGAGACAACTGGCCAATTTTTCAGATTCATAATTTTTCCGCATTTGTTTTTAAGGGCAGGGAGTCAAATAATACAGTTTGCAAAAGCTTTTTTTCATTGATGCATTCTTGGGACTGAGGAGGATAAGTTGAGCTAAATGTGTTTGTGTGCCTTAATAAAAAAAGACTAAAAAAAACTATGGACCATCTTCCCGAAGGGAACCCTGATGGGATGTGAAGCAGCAGTGGTGCGCATGGCGTTGACTTGTTTGAAACGGGCGTCAATGCAGGTGCCGGAAGAACGGTTTGAAGCAAAACTTAGTGTAGCGTCGGTGTTATCCGCACGCAGTCTCTATTCTCAAACACGATCGGCGTTCCTGACTCGCACTTCGTCAATGTCGTTAGTCTTCCACTGCCGACACGTGTGATCGGCCTTCCTGTCTGGCGCGACGTTACCATTCGCAAACGCGATCGGCTTCACTTTTTTTTTTCTTTGAATGCGCGGCTTCTTTAGTGTGATCGCACGTGCATGCGGGGACAAGTCGCGGCCTTCCGCGGCAATCTCTGTAACAACCAAGCGGGCCATGTTCAAATCAGCCAATGGCTGGTAGATGGGCTTTCTACGAGTGATTTTTGAGCGTTTTTGGTCATTTGTCAAGAGAAAAGAGAGTAATTTTTAGCTGACAATAATTTATGGTGAATTCCAGGCGGCGTGCTGGGCTCTAATATTTGGCTCACATGTTGTCGGGAGCCTCTACTACCGATCGGCACCGTTTTCTGACCATACTAAAGTGTTGCAGGGCCTATTAAAAGTTTCTCTATGTGCTGCATGAGTGACGGCTTTCGCAGCGTGCACAGTTTTTTGGTACTTTTGTAGGTTGAAACACTGTGCTTAGACTATTCAAAGAACCTTTAGTTAACATCTAGTAAAGATTTTATTTCTTGCCCCGAATAAGCTACCACTGAACTGGGGGGCATGCATGTTGTTTTTTCTTTTTTTTAGGTTTGAGCAATTCATCTTAAGTATGGGTTTTTTGCCAAGCTCTCAGTCCTTAGTTGTATGCATAGGTTGGCAAAAAAAAAAAAAAGTTGTACTCACTCAAGCAATATATCATTGCACTTGGACTCGCTCGTCGGGCTCAGACTAGTCAAACTTTTTTTTGAGCTGGGCTCACTTGTACTCGGACTCATGAAAGTTTTCTTCAAACCGGACTCGCTCAAACCCTCCAACATATTACTCGCCGGACTCGCTCAGACCCGCGGCTCGATCTGAGTTCGAGTGAGTCGACTCATGAGTGAGTTTGCTGACCTATGGTTGTAGGCCTTTGTTACTTCAGTTCTAGTACATTTGGCACAACAGAACATTGTGAAGCTTGAATTCAAGCCTTTGTTAACTCTTTCGCTTGCCTGGAATATGGAACCTTTGGTCACTGCTCAGCACCCTCATCAAGCAGTGACGATGAAGATGAAGATGTGGTTGGAAGCTTTCTTGGACTGTTAAGCAGTGTAGACATTGCTACCTTGATTCTTTCTCATAGCATTGACAAGGTCCAAGTAGTAGACAGTCATCAGTGTAGATTTGTAAAAGTAATTGGTAGCTATGGCAAATTTGCATGAAACTTCACAACCTCTTCCAGCAACTCTGGCTTGTTTTCATGTCATACATTCATGAGCAGCAGTAAGAGCTTTGCACTGTGCCTACACATAGCATCATGTTGAATACTGAAGTCTAGGCGGTGTGAAGATAGGTGCACAGATCTGCATATCAGTACTAGTACTTGAAATCCATCTTTTAGCAGCTAAGCGGCATTTCAAAGATATTTAAACAGACTCAGTAAAACTTAAAACAGCTATAATTTAGATTCTACCCTTTTGCTCCTTTTTTGTGTCTACATTTTATGCCTTTTTTTACGCCTAATTGCCATCGATGTGAGACTGATTGTCGTTGTTGTAGTCCTCATTCAGTTATTTTTGATACGTGGACAATTAAGTTCTTTCTGTATTCTCAAACAGCTGGGATGACTGGCAGTTGCTTATTATTAATTCAACTGTAAAAAGCAGTGCAAAGGGCTTTCAGTATAGGCTCTTTGATAAGGGGTGAGTATAAGTTATGCACGTGACTTTTAAGTTCAAATTGCAGGTGAAAGAGTACACAAAAAGTGTTTTGGAAAGTGTTTTGGTTGTATAGCATTTAGCATGTTCTGGGCTTGGACAAACAATATTGCAATTCATACTGAAAAAAAAAAAATTGGGTAGCATAACAGAAGAAGCAAATGACATTGTGTGAACACCGTGGAGCACTATTGTCTGAAAAAAAGTAATTAGTGTCTACACTTTCATAAGAGCATGTGGTACCACAAAAGGGGAAGGCTGGAAATCTCAATCAACATATGCTGCAGCTGATAGTATTGGAAAGTAGACATCTTTCAAGCAGGGTGTCGGAAGTTCCGGTTTTTGTTTTGTTTCACAGACAGAAGTTTTATTTCATTTCTGTTTCGGAACAAAAAAAAAAAAACATTCCGTAAAGATTCGTAATGGTTTTTCAGTAATAAAAACTAACAAAATACTTAATATTAAAAGTACTTACTCATAAAATAAACTAATGAAAAACAAATGTGTATTAGAAAGTGTTGGGGTTTTACGTCAGAAAGTCACAATATAACTATGAGGGAAACCTTGCTACAACAAAAACTTGATAGTTTTTTCCTCAAGTCTGAATCCCCAATTTTTGTGAAGGGGGTGCAAACGATCTCACAAGCAGTAGCTCATTGAGTGTATTTCTCTATAAGCGAGACTGCTGCTTGGACAAAACAAACTTCAATGCCAAAAATGCCCTCTCCACTCTGACTTGTGTGGCTGGCACACCAAGGGCCACTTGTGCCAAAATGTATAGCTCCGGTTGCCGCTCTTTGCGCTCGTGCTTCTTGTAATGCTTCATGCTTCTTGTAATGTGCGGCTCGTTGTCCAGCATTTCCAGTCGGCGTGCGATGTTCACTGATCCTGGCTCACTTGTCAAATGTGACTGAGCACGAACTACAGCTTTTTTCATTTTCATAAACGCCTAGACAGCATCTTCTGGTTCCTCTGAGGTTGGCGCAGGGTGCTTTCTGGAATGCAGCTTCTACACTGATTCTGCTGAAAGCCTGTGTTGCGCTTCCAGGTTTTGCACAGGTGCATTCTTGTTCGATATTTTTGATCAAGTTATAGTGGTTAACTTTCTCAAGGGGGAATTGGAAATTTATAGAACAGGCTCAATGCTTTGTGCCAAGAGTGTGAGCATGATCTCGGAAGGAGCCGGTCATCTGATATGTGTGACCGCTGTTCTGATCAAGCAAACTGCACCGCCGATAAATGCCTTCTCTATGACGGCCGGTGTGAGAGGCACACAAAAGTACACTTGTAATAATACAAACAGCTCTGGTTGCGACTTTTTTAGCTTTCTGCAATATTTCAACATCGTTACTTTGGGATGTCTGTCCAAGATGCACATTGATTTTGTACCCTGAGTTATGCCTTGATGCTTACATTGCATGACCTCAATTTTCCCGTTTTGCCAAGTTTTCTCGTGAACCAAAAAACGAGAAAAAATATTTCATTTTTACTCTGGAACAAAATAATAAATAAAGTTCCAGTTACATTTTCGTTCTGGTTAAATATATCTTTTTTTTGTTTTCGTTTCTTTCCGAGACTCTGCTTTTAAGTGACGCAGGTTGAACAGAAAATGTAGAAAGAGTACACAAGCCTAGATTCAATTTTTCTTCCATTATGTTTGTGTTGCTTTCAATAAAAACATTAACCCTTTAGCCGGTTGTGCCTCATGCACAAGCAAACGCCCTCATCAAGCAGCGAGGATGGCGACGAAGATGTGGTAGATAAACCAAGTGCCTTTCTAAAACATGCAGTGGGATTGAAAAAACTAAAACAGACTGTCAAGAGCAGTGGGAAATGTCGCACTGGAAGGCCACTCTTCCTTAATGTGACACTGTCAGAGGTACTATTGAGTATTTCAAGGCATCTTTTCTTGAAGCTTTATGGATCACATTGTGGAGCACAGCAAATTTTTTTGTGGTGCAGAAAAATTTTAACAAAGGATTGGGTGTGCCTCGTGACGACCTAGATCAATTTTAGATCAAGTTTCGGTTGTTGCAAATTTGTGACATACCTAAAGGTATAGATAATTTAACTGCGGAATCAAGTAAAGATTGCTGTGTAAAGCTGAGAAATGAAAAATGTATTTTTTATTAGGGCGGTTTCATAATTAAGGCATTAAAGGGTCGAAGGAACAGTAAAGAGAATAAAAAAAATTGTCATACTGATAAACCTCTCGCATACCAGCTCTTGCTGTGTCAATATTAAACATGAAAATGTGCATAAAGAAAATGCAGGTTACTACTCTACAGGAACTCTTGTGACTTGATGTATTTTGACGGTATGTACTATGACTTACATAGCTTCTAGATGAAAATTGCACTGTCGAGGGGGTCAGAGACTTCACATACGAAGTCTGCTATGAACTTGCCGTAAAGGTTTATTGCAGTCCCATCTTTGTCTTTCTAATCAACAATTGCATTGACACAATGGTTACTGAAAATGTCATATTGAAAGCCGATTTGTCTTATCGCTACAAGGAGACATACCTTTTCTGCCATGTGGGTATATGGGCAAGGAGTGTCACAGCATTTATACATTTTTTTATGCCTCTTCAATATTATATGATCTTTCTGCTGCACCTCGTGCAAGAGCACAAGATGTGGTGTTGTGCTTGACATTTTATTCTACTTTTTTTAACAGGAGAGATACAGACCAGAAGACGCATTCAGGCTTGCGAAGAATTCTTAGTGTTTGGAAAGAGAGATCTGTTTTCGACTCTCATCAGATTTCGGACTTTGGCCAATATCTCTCGGACAAGGTGTCGGAACCAGAAACAGTGAAAGACTCTGGCCAAAATACAGGTGTTCTACCTTTCCATGTTTTTGTACCATTTACTTTTTCTGGATGGTGGGTTTTTTACAAATACTTACACTTGAATGCTGAAGTGAGCTAGTAATATTTCGGCTTGGTAACATAGCCATCATGCAAAAAAGCTTGGCAAAATACAAAATAAAGTGATGTTATGCCTAGTGAATGCCCTACTATCACTGTTAATTGGTTAAGCTTTGATTGAAACTAAAAATAGTTTTTAGTACTAGTATCTTCTGTAGCTTTGTCATTACTGCCTATTACTGGAGGCCGGATTTTTAGCAACTAATAAAAAGTATGTTTTAGGCACCAAAGACAGGCATGCAAAGCAACTTTTTAGGTGTAAGAAAAATAGGCAGGCAAAGCAGGTTTTAGGCCTCTAATGTCATAAATGTAGGCACAACACATTTTTACATAAATCCAAATTATTTCAAAACAAAAATTTGTGTGACCTGTACCTGTGAGAGCAAAACAAAACAGCTTATTTTTTGTGATGACACATAGGTGCCAACTGTTAAACATAACCGTGCAATTCTCATTTTTCCTGCACAGTTTGCAGAGTACTATCTGTCCTTTTAAAAAAAATTCGAAGCTCTTATCAGTGAACTGCAGGCACTTTCAACATTTCTGTGTATTTGTCTGTCTCTCTCTCTCTCTCCGTTTGGCTGCTCTCGTGATCGTGTCCTTAACATGGGGCAGACTAAAATGGGTATGGGAGGGTAGGAGAGTCTGAATGAGTTTCTGGTCATAACATGAATAACATGAAAATCCTGTTGTGTTCGTAGTCAATCCCTTTCAGACATATTTAGTACAACAAAGCCTGTATACCATGGAAATACACATGAGCCGGGCATGTAGCACGCAGGCAGGATAACCGCTGGTCATTAAGGGTAACTGACTGGATTCCCAGAGAAGGCAAGCAGATTAGGGGGAAGTTAGGTGGGCAGATGAGGTTAAGAAGTTTGCGGGTATAAATTGGCAGCAGAAAGCACAGGACAGAGTTGACTGGTGGAACATGGGAGAGGCCTTTGTCCTGCAGTGGACGTAGTCAGGCTGATGATGATGATGATGATATATTTTTTGTTTATTTACCAGTACTTGAGAGGCCCAATGGCATTAAAGAAGCGAGAAGTACATGTGAGAATAGATCAAGATTAACAGCTGTATTGGAGCAAAAAGACAAAACAAAAAATGAATACATTATCGTACAATAATAACTAGTATGGTTTAACAGCTATGCAGCAGTACATGTAAGAGTAACAAGGAATAAAGTTGCTTATGGTATATAGTGTTAGCTATATAAGTCCATGAAAACAAACAGGGCCTATTATGGAGGCAATTCATCCGGGAAGGATATTCCAGTCCTTACAAGTACAAAGAATGAAGGATTGCAGGTAGGTTTTTGTATGGCACGGTGCAATGCAGACTTTGTTTATGTGGCTGATGCGTGGAGACGTGCAGGACGCTGTGGGCAACAGCTGAAAATGTTTGTGGCTTGAAATGAGGAAGGAGAGTTTCTGAGCGTTTTTTCACGAGTGATGCAGGCAGTACATGTGAGTGAATCTAGCAGCATTATTGTGGACAAGTTCGAGAGAGTTAATGAGGGTGTTAGAGGAAGGATCCCATTAGATATTGGAGCTTTGTACTGATTATTGCTTTGTAGAGCAGGAGAGAGAGATGATTTCTTAGAAGTCAGAGATGTAGAAGAGGAGCTTCATTGAAGAGCAAGTCGAGAAAAATGTGTGATATTTTGAGAAAGAAAAGGTAACAATTCTGGTAGCTCCAGAACAAGTGGGGTCTACAACAGCTTGAATTTTTTTTTGTGCATGGCTCACTGCATTGCTAAATGGTTTGCTTGTGTTATATGGCATTTGTGTGGCCCAGTGCACCACAAGGGACATGCCCCGTCTTCCCATGAGGGTACGCCTTTATGGAATGATGCCGAGCCTGCAGCAAAGCGAAAGAAGCCTTCTGATTGTGGTGAAGAACCTTCAGAAAAGATAGACAAGGATGCTGAAAAGTCGGGAGAACCACCAGATGTAAGTGGTATCATCATAAAATGCATGAAAGTTTTTTGACCAGGCACTTTATAATGGTATAAATAGTTTGGTTATGGTATGACTGGTTGTGGCTGATAGAGCTAGGTGTGGAATAACAAAAAAAAATTCTTTCACAGTGTCAGTTTAGCTTTGGGTTTAACATGCCCAATTTCCTGAATGAGTTCTAGAACTGGTTTGATGTAATAGACTTTTACCATTGACATGTTGCTCAGTGCTGTAGCATGTGCTAAGCTGATACAATCCAGGCAGCACTGCTTTACCTTCTTGATTATGAAGGCTGTGGGGCATGCAAGAGTTGTGTCTGCATTATTCCTGAAGTCTGCTCCATCATTCCAGTGTGCCAGTTTTTTGTTTACAGGCTTTGAATGCTTTTTTGTTTTGGTACTATTCCTTTCTTCATTAAAGGGCCAGTCAACAGGCTCCAACTTTTTTTTTACACCCCCCTCCCCCCCCCCCCCCCAGCAGGCTCAGTGATTCGTAGAGTAGACCGCAGCGATCATGTTTTCTGAATATTACAGAGCTGCGCGCCGCGCACAACCTCCATTTCGAAAAACAATTCCCGCGCTCCTTTCCTACGCCTGACCAATGCTCCTTCCGCGCGCAGTGACGCCAACTCAGCGATCGGCGACATAACGTAGCACGCAGCTTGTCGATTGGTCTAAGCCAGGTCTCAACAAACACTAGTGAAGTCGACGACAGTTCCTGTTCCCACCCGTAGCTAATGACAGAGCTACAATCATACGAGTTGCGAAACTCCCCATAGGCATCATGTATTGAAAGCCGGACAAGTCGCTGGCCCAGTTTCTAGGAGTGAGCAGATTTTTTCGCCACTTGTTCATGAGAACATCCACTATTAAGCACTTTATTTGTGTTTTGTGTCACTGCTACCAGATGTTGCGACAGTCCGCTTGCGAAAAATCGAACCCCCGAAAAACTGGGTCAACTTCATGTCTGCAATTTGCAACGCAGTTTCGCTGCCATCATTGTCGGCTGCAAATCGAGTGACTGGGCTGAGGACAAAGATCATCACCAGGTAAACGGTAAACAACAAGGCACCACAGCAAGTGGAAGTGCGGTGCAATTGATTGAGTTCGCCGACGGCGTCAATTGCTCACATCTTGTCACGTTGCCGAAGTGGGTGCAGTCATGACGACGGGCTATGTTTTCCCCTCCCTCTGAAGAAGAAGGGTGGTGAGGCCATGCAAAAATTTGAAACCAGCTGGAAGCAATGTTCTAGCCCCTGCAACTTCCTTATTATAGCACGTATTCACAAAATTATTACGGGGGCATGTTCACGAAGTAAAAGTACACATATTTTATTTATAACAATTTCTGGCCCTTTAAAAAACATTTACACGTGTTCTGGGCTCACATTTGTTATCCTTGTAGTTTGAGCTTGAGTGCTGTTTAGCACTCTGCAAATTCTAAAGGGAAAATGTGTGTGCATATCTTTGTGCTGCTATGATTGTACATGAGGTTTGTAACCCTTTCTTTATTTTACTTATTGATATTGACCTTTTCTGACAGCCAGGGGTTCTGATCAAGGCATTGGCTGACTTGGAGAACACAGCCTCCTCTGATGCTGTTGTTCGAGAACGTATAGCCAGTCTACCCCCAGAGGTATCAGATGCCTCCTTGCTAGAGAAAATTCAGGGTGAGCTGGCTTCAAGTTTCCAAATAACATATTGGTACCATTTGGAAGTTCTCTTCTGATAAAGGGTTCAGTTTTGCATGAAACCTAGTTGAGAATTAATCTGGTTTAGCATTTTTTTTTTGCTCAGTTTATAAGAAGGTATGATCATTTCATTTATTGGTAGCACTTGCAAAGTAGTGTGTTTTCTTAGTGCATTAAAGTGAAACTGGCCCACCAATGAAGCAAATAATGTAGTACCAAATTATTCAAATCTTTGTCTTCCAGATGTGGATCAAAATTGCTTGTATAATTTCTCTGTGTTGAATAGCTTGCGTTTAGAAAGGGCCAGAATAACTTTACGTTGGCTCATAAACAATAAATATTTCTAAATAATTGAATTACTTACGATTGTTTCTAAATACTTCACCAACCGAATCTGAACTCTGATATTAAAGTTGCCACAGTCTAGGTTTTAGGCCTTGAATAATTTATGTCTGCAGCGGTGGTGTAGTGTTTACAATGCTTGGCTGCTAACTCTAAGGTTGAGAGTTTAATCCTGGCCACTGCAGTCAGCTTTCGATTGAGGCAAAATGCTGGAGGCCCGTGTATTGTGTGATGCCTTTGCACGTTAAGTCAAAATTTCTGGAGCCCTCCACTATGGCATCTCTCATAATCATGTCGTGCTTTTTGGGCATAAAACCCTAGATGTTATTAAATAAGCTCTTTGCAGAGAGTTGCTTTATACACTGAATACAAATCAGCTATGATTCATTACCAAATACCATATGGTTTATATATAGTATATACAGTTGGTTCTTATTATAATGGATAATAATAAAGCAAAAGGGGCTCGCTACATTCATAGTTATTTTCTTCCACAATTATGGGTGCAGAATGTTTCATTATGGTGGAACTTTGTATATGGTAGTTTTGTCATTGTGCTTAAATACGTATTGAAAACAAAAGGCATTTACAAAAAATTATTTAAATTGTTTAATTAAAGAAACACTAAAGTCAAATAACAATTTACATCAGAGTGAAAGCTCAATGTATGACAATATCTAAAACAACAATATTATCAGCAGCAGCACCCTACTTACTAAGGAATTAGGGTAAATGAACAGGAATACATGCGTCGCAGTAGGAAATTTTCAAAATGATCCCGATGACGTCAGCTGTACCGCCTACAGTTAATCACTAGTAATCGAACTAGCTGCACCAAATAAAGAACCTTCCATGCATCAAGAGACATAATAAAATGCTGCTTGACGGTTTCTGTTTGATTCATGGAAAAATGAACTACTGTACATTAGTCACTATGGGGAATGGCACAAGAGGTTCAAAAATTCAATTTTGTCATGGTTAAACTGGACAGGTCTTGCCATCTGGCGGGGCCTAGTTGAACCAATTACATCTGCCATTTCTGAGTGAATGGCAGGAAATTGTTGAATTGCCGTTGTAGCTGCTGTGGTTCTCGCTGCTACTAGTCTTGGCGGCCGCGCAGTAAAGCTGGCTAACATTGTGAACGGCAAAAGTGACTTGAGATGTTTCGTTTGGGCAGGTAATTTGAAGTGTGCTAACCCTATGCGGACCACTAAAATGTGATTTTATTTTAAAATACGCACTTCCTTGGCACAAAAGTAACACTACAAGGTTTCTTGACTGCCATTTAAACAATAAACATCGACTTGAAAGTTGCCTTTAGTGTCTCTTTAAAATGAAATTGGGCAATAGTTGCACTACTAGCTGCTCAGTGTCTTGTTGTCTGTCATTTTTCGAGAGCAGTGGACGTGGTAAAATTATAAAGAACAACTGCGGACTCCCCACTGTAGGCTATTCACTGTGGCCTACCCACATTCTCTGCTGAGCTCAAAAGTTGAAGTTTCAATTCTATCTGTGGCCACATTACAATGAAGTAAATAAAATACAAAAAGTTTTTTGTACTTGAATACAGATGCACCTTAAAAAATTTGAAGTGCCATGCCTCTTCATAATGTCATCATTTTGCCATGCACAACCAGAGAAATGTTATCAAGCACTGGTCGCTCAAACATGACAGTGTTCAACTTATTGTATGTACAGTTGACCACAATAGTTTACGAACCACGTGAGCGCGTAGCCGAAAGCCTCTTCGCTACACTTCTGCTATGTCAGTGGGGATCGGCAGCATCTCAGCGCCCGGGTCACATCCATCCCTGTATGTATTGTCTGTCTTGTTTTCTGACTGGGTACGTATAATTTTCATCTTTCACTTTTTAACGTTACATGTATTTTTGCATTTGTGTCTACGTGCAATCTTTATCACAAAGTGATACCTAGCCAACAGAATGATGTTCGAGGCACGCCGTGATAGTATTGATCCTGCTGTGAAAATAGAAATTTGACAGTCATACGGTAGATAAACGCTTCACGTGAAAACTGCGAACTAACAATGTGCTACGCAGCAGCAGAAAATTGAAAGGCAAGTGAATAACAAGAAGAGCCGTTTCTGGCTTAGCACTGCAGTCGATGGTGGATGGCGTACCGCTAGGTGGCGCGGACTGGCCGTTTGGAACGCACTCACGTGGTACAAACTTTTGCTGTTGACGGTACATGGGGCTGCTGTTGAAGCAAATCTGTGCATTTAACACTTGATGTGCTGGTTCCAGTGGCGTTGTAGCAGTGATGCTAAAAGCAAGCTTCTGTTTGCTAAAAAGCAACCTTCTGGGGTTAGGTGAATTGGGTTTTGTGCTGCAGTCGAGCCCGCTTATAACGAACCTGAGCGTGACACGGCATCCGTACGCTATATCCCGAAGGTCGTAGTAAAGGAAACACGGCTTTAAAAAGAAAGTTGCCAGTGAAAACAACTTTTTTTTTTCCAAAAAAGTTTATGATGCACGTGTTTCAAAGAGCAGAAACGATAATATTCCGTTCAGTCACGGTGTGTACAAATGGAGACGCTAACTTCAATGGCACATCACACACTGTGTGTTTCATCAAATGGCTTGAAACTTAGTGTCCACATTTGTCCAGGCCTACTGAATGGACAACTCGCGATTATTTAACTACACTATGCTGCATATCGCTGCGGAGGATCACTTTGCTGGATGCAATGCCATGTTCGACGATTGTTCTACGTGACTCATTCCAAGACAAATGTGAAAAGTATTTTTTTTTTTTCGCTCGAAACAAATACAACCAAAAAACAAACTGTGCATGAATTTCGGGCCTAATTACGGGTTCTTTTTATAAAGTAAGTACTGAAGCAGACTGGTGGCAGAATAAGATAATTAGTTACAGACTCATTAACTTTAATTACCAGAATGCACACTGAACTACGCTTTTCTTTATTTTCTTACTTGAAATGTAATACTGAGTGCCTTGGAATTGTGCCACGTGACTTTGAGGCATTTCTGACAGCTCATTATATTTCGTGACTGAAGGGGATCAGGATGGCCTCGAGTTTATTTAAAGTGGCAGCGTGCTTTTCACCGAAGCCCGGGGTATATACAAGCTGCCTAAAAGGCTATTGATGCACTGCAAGCATGTTTGTGGACACTGGCTCCAAAGTTTCATCGTCATAGTCATCCGATTCCTACAAATCACTCTTGCCGCACACTTCATTCACAATGCCCTCATCTGTGAACTGTTTCACAGTGTTGGCATCATCATCGGCCATAATGAAATCATCGCAACAGATGTCTCACCTGCTCTCCCATGTTAGAGTCAACAACGCTCTGCCACAAATCACCCCCGCAGTGGCCCTGTTCGGAAGCTTCAGGCTCGGCATCAGGCCCGACATCGACGAAGTCGGCCTTGTGAAAACAGTTTCGCGTTCATGTGGCTGTCACCGCCGCTCACGAAGCCTTCATCTCCGCAGCTGAATACTGGGACGCCCGAAGCAGAAAGTTGGCTGCCAGGTGGTCAACAGCTATGAGCAAGGGCTCCACAGCGCAGCCGTAGATTACGGCCAATCCAAGCAATCGCACTTTCGACATTTTGTTGAGTGGCAGGAAAAAGCGCAAAAGGCATCTCGTCAGCCATCCTGACCACACGTGCACACCAACAGCGAGCAAGACACGCACATGTGACACTTAAGCCAGAACGCGTGGTACGAGTCTGGGCTTGTTTCTAGTCGAAAAACGAAACTTCTGAATTCGAGCCAGTGTATAGCTGGCGTCATGGAGCAGTGGAGATGGGCGAAGGAGTTCCAATAAAGAGAGGATAGGATAGCAGATGTGCAAGAGAAGGGCAAGGAGTTGCGATAGAGTGAAGAAAGGGGAGGATATGGCTGAAAGGCGACCTTGAGAACTTAACGACTCGCGGGAAGAAGGTAGGTCGGGTACCTTGCTTGAAAGGTCCACGAAACGCGCAGCTCACAGGTAGAAAAACTTGGGAAAGTTGCGCACGAGCGCAGTGGTCAAAGAATTATTTTATAGCACCGGCGGGATTGCGCGGTCTCATTGACTTCGATAATCTCGATTTGTTTCGTGTAACAGCTGGGCTTGCGCTTTTGCACGCATGCGGAGGGCATGCTGAGTGAAGTGCGAAGTAAGCGAGAACAGGTCCTAAACAAAGAACGAATCGTGAATTATCAGAGTCGATGGAATAGCGTACACGCGTGCGTTGGAAGGATACGACACTGATCCAGACAAGACGCAGATGGTCGGGTACAGTCGGGGCCTATGATATTGGCACATGGTCTGGTTATCCAGGCCAGCGACGCCAACAACAAAACCGGCGATCAAAAACTGAGGGTAGACTAGTCGGCTGACTGGTCTTCGAAAGATCGGTGGCAGTGTGAAAACACAGGTCTCGTCTGGCGATTCGAGGTGCTCAGATTAGCTTGAGAGCAAAAGACAGAGGGGTGCGTAATAAAAAAACTGTCGGGGAGAGCCACAACTAGAGTGGTGGGGAGGCAGGGTCGGCGTTTTAACAATAAGAATCTATGGGCGCCTCGGCAATGGTTTATCGGTGGTCGAAAGTGGTTTTTTGGGAAGTCGCCGGAGTGCCAACTCAGTCCGCTGTAACCGATCGGCGGCGCTCAGGGACGTTTGTTGTAAGTGCGATTTTGTACCATTGAAATAATGTATATTTTCACGGTCACGAGGGTATCGTTCGTTTTAACTGAAAGTTTGTTTTAAGTGGGGCCGTTATATGTGGGCTCGACTGTGTTTGTACGAATACCCATGCATGGCTCACTAGTAGTTCTCACACAGACCGACAGACGGCAGATCGTCTCTCTGCTCAAGTGGAGGAGGCATGCTCTTTGCTGGCTGAGTACAACAGCCGGTTGGCCCAGGAATTAGAAGACCGCAAGCAAGTCTCGCAGATGCTGGCCAGCTTTACGTTCCACCAGCGAGAGCTCATGGCACTTGCGGAGGAGAAACTGGAGGTGAGGCTGTCGTTGGGAGCATGAGATGAATGAAAAGGCGGGTTCATTTGTGTCACTAGTTTTTGCTGTATGTGACAATAAAAATTACATTATTCTTGCCTAGCAGGCCACTGGTGTCATAAGCTGCCCAAAGACCGTTTTGCTGTTGCAGTTGTCTTTAGTGTAAGCACATACTATAATCATCGCACCAGATTTGGGTCTGTCTGTGCGACTAGCTCAAGGACTGCATGTGATAGTGAGTAGACACTGATGGCAAGCATGTGATAATGAAAACAAAATTATATTGCAGGGGTGCAACAGCTGTGCCAATTGCGTCAATCTGATACCATTCCCCATTTTTACGCCGAGCTGTGCCAAAACCATGAAATTTGACGAAAATGTGCCTCGCTGCGCCAAAATGCCTGACCAGCCTAGAAAATTTTCTCAATTGCATTAATTTTAGCGAGAAATTGAGGCCACATTGGTCACCTGTAGCTTGCGACCTCAATCAATCTAGGCATTCCGACCCTAACCATACATCACAGCAAGATACTCGTGAAATGCAATTGACCTGATAAAGTAACTTCGCCGTGCGCCCATTGGTCTGCTGACCGCAGCAGATATCTATCGGGGGGATGGCTCAACTTCAAGACAAAAATTCATTGCCATAGCCAGCAATGCCTCGTGGAAAATATGAATTTGCTAGTCAGCAAACGCAGCTGTGGCATGTTTCAAACTGAAGCTAGAAGTGTATGCCGCTGTTGCTACGCTCGTATAAACTCAATGTGTTGCGAACGCTGGCATTCTTAGTGACCTTGTTGGTTGCCATAGCAACGGCACATAAGATAGCTATGAGGTGCCATCGCCAAGCCAACAAGTTGGTTCCGTTGTTACTTTACCTAGTCAAACACATCTTACAAGTGAGCTGAGAAGTTTTCTCCTATACTAACCCCATCCTGAAAAAAAAATAAATAAATAAACCGGGTGGGGGAACTGTAGCGGTACAAAAATTTCTTGCCCTTGTTTTCTAACCCGTGCAGAATGCCACTTAAAGGAACCCTGAAACGATCTTTTGAAGTTTTGTCGGCGTTTAGTCTAGAATATCATCGGACCATTCTCGCCAGAATTTTGGTGACACGCCATGTACCAAGGCCGCCACGGACAATTATATTGTTCCTCCTTCTCGCATCTGCCTGGCCCCCTCAACTCATCAGGCATGCTGGCATCGCTGGTGATCGCAGAGCTCTCATGAGCGCACTCGACAATTTGAGCTTTTACCAGTCTAGACCTCCAAGATGGCACGCTGACAGGCTGTGCGCAGTGTCGGAGGCCATCAATCACATAGTGCGCCTGGCAGCACGCACGCGTCTAGCAACAGAGGTGACGATTGTGGAGTGGCTCATATCTGTTCCGACAGGTGCCGCCATTCTACCAGCCAATCTTGCTTCCGCACATTCTACAGCTCATGACAGCCAATCAAATCAGCAGCCGCAATGACATGGCTGCTGATGTGCTCTGGTCTCGTCAAGTGGCCAGAGTATATCGCTCTGAATGGGCGGTCTAAAACACGTTTGACCAAGTCGCAACGATCTGCAGGAATTCGCAGCTTTGATGCGTTGTAATAAATTACACAGTTTACGCAGAGAGCTCAAATCTGTCTATAAATAACCCTTGAGACTTCGTCTACTGGCCAAATGTGTTTTGTACAAAATCGCCAAAACCGTTTCAAGGTTCCTTTTAGTGACCTTTGCCACACTACACAGGTGGCCTGTGCAAAAGCGTTGGAAGGGGCTGTTAGCACTAGCGACGGAACACAGCACTGTTAGTTCAATGACTCGTGTGTGTAAATTTGGATTTTAGTGCTCCAAAAGTAACATTTTCCTGCTACGAAAATTGCTTCAAATTCTATTTTGGCCGTTGCACCCTGCTATTGTGATTATCGGTTCCACCTATTTTAGCTGTCCTCTGCAAAATGCGGCTACTACCCACATACGAGCGCTGAAAACACGGGGTTGCGATGATTCGACCTCCGATTATACATGGCTGCACACCGAGGCTTAAGCAATGTGTCATTTTACACTCGCAGAGCAAGATCAACAGAGTCCAAACAATGCTGTTTTACGTTTTAAAGTAACTAAACTTTTTTGCCAACAAGCGGTTGCAAAGCAGTTAAACAGCTCATGATCGTGTGAAGTGGCATATTTTTCTGTGAGCTGTTAGACTCTAAACTTTCAAAAATATTATTAATTAAACAGTCATAATGCATTAATGCATTTCCTCAGTATTACAGTCTACGCAAAGCCTCTGTACCACCTGCAAAGAGCCCACACACGAGTCAGCAATGCACCCCCTTCGTCGGAGCTGGTGTGATAATGTGGGACGCCGTAGTAAGTGACGCAGTTGTCTCCTCTCCCTACGGAGGGGCGGGCGAGGAGGACATCGAGGCACTCTAGTGTGGCAAACATCACAGCGGCACCTTTTGACAGCAGCTTGCAAAGCTCAAAAGTGTGCACCATGCCTGCGTCTTTTCTTACCTGCCAGCCTGCTCATTTGCTAGCTTCAAGTGTGCGTGCACTGGAACACCAAATTATGCAGAAGGTGTCCCTTCTTCAGTCGCTGTGGAAGAAATGAGCGATGGTATTATAATGAAAATACGTAACTTGTACTGGCAATGTTGAATACATGCCATGCTCTGTGCCTTGTTTTGAGATGCACCGCGGCACGCAAAACATGCTTTGTGTTACTTTTTCTCAAATTAACATATGTGATGAGATATTTAGCACATTCACTCGTGCATCTTAATCATGCATGCTGCGATTTCCCGTGGTGCTTGGAGCAAGCATGTTGTGCCCATTCATAAGTGCAACGAAAGAAGAAACAGGGCATCTGCCAAGCACAAAGGTGCAAGAAAGTACACATGTATTTCAACCAAAAGCAAGCACAGGACCGGGTTAACTGGCGGAACATGGGAGAGGCCTTTGTCCTGCAGTGGACGTAGTCAGGCTGATGATGATGATGATGATGATGATGATTTCAACCAAAAAGAGAAAGAAAGAAAGGTGCTGAAATATTGGTCCTCTGCTCCAAACCAGGACGACGTTTTTAGTTGGACAAATCGCTCGGTGCTTCCAAAGTGACCGCATAAGTGCCGTGTTGGGTTTTCCCTGACATTCTGGAGCAAGTGCACTTGAGGTGAGAAAACAAGCAGGCTGGCGGGTAAAAAAGAACGTACGTGCACTGTGCATCTTCTCAAGCTTTGCAAGCAGTTGTCAAAAGGCACAACATAGCATTTTGCCACGTGCTGCTATGGTCTATAATAATTTGACTATCACTGTACATGCTAAAGAACCCTATATGGTCAGCGTTAATTTGGAATTCCCCACTATGGCATGCTTCAATACATATGATTTCGGGATGTATAATCTCATAATTTAATTTTTTAACCATTGTTATCTACGCAAGGTTGTGCGGAGTATAATGCAATTTAATGTCATTTGTAAGTACAGTTGTATCATTATTCATTTTTTTATGTGAGTTCTGCGACGTTTTTGTGCAGTAAGCTTGATGACTACAAGACTACAAGCCTTGTGTTAAATGCCACATCCTTCTCAATTTCTGGTTATGCATCTTTCTAGGAACATCTGACTTCATGTCTAGGTGTCTCCTCTTCTTGCACTTCTGGCATGTTTGAAAACTTTGTAATTACATATACTTCTCACAAAGCCCGATAACCATGTCCTGCCATGCAAGACTGGCCATTTTGAGTGTCTGGTATGAGTGGCAATCTTTTTTTGTTTACGAAGGTTTTATAATCACTAACGAGAGTCTGGCCTTGCTATGTGCAGGAACACCGAGACAAGCTGCACAAGGTGACGCATGTCAGAAACGAGCTCAAGTCTCACCTGCAGAATTTACCTGACCTTACCTTGCTGCCAAGTGTCACCGGTGGTCTGGCACCCTTGCCATCAGCTGGGGATCTCTTCAGCCACAAGTGATTCTTGTCTGCTCGGTTCTCAGGCCACAATGGACTGCTTCTGACTGCATGACATGCAGTCAGTCTTCTCTGGTTAGCAGCCACGAGTTAAGGCTGTCATTTATGCATTGGGGGAAACTTGCAAAGTAGTGCTCTTCCCCCCTCATCCTCGCCCAGATTGTTCTGCATTTCCCTTTTTTTGCATCTCTTTTTGTTGCAGTGTAGGCTTGTTCTAGGTTTTGTGAGGGGACATTCAATGCTTTAATGTGGCTGCTGTGATCGATGTTTAGAGAGGCACTATAGTCACCTTTCAGGCCATTTGTAAGCCTTGTGCACCTGCAGAATGCCTAGTATAAAAAGAATGTTAGTCTTGGTGTGTTTTAAGCCTTAACGACGTGCATAGGATGCCATTTTCTTTTCCCTTACCCCCCCCCCCAATACCAGCACCACAAACAGAATACATTTAAGAACATAAATGTCATTTCAGTTTAATTATGTCAGTGCACTACTGTAAACTTTTGTTAAAAGTTGCAATGCTTGAAAAGCTATCAGGAAGACCATAATATATACTTGTGCCATCAGTACTTTGCTTGTAATAATGAAAACCTGACATAAGACATGCATTTTGGTCGGCATAAACTATGAATGCTTTTTCTAATTTACTTTTGTCTATTACGAGAAAGCAGTGTACTCTCCGTGTGTATATTGTGTATATTTTACAATTAGAAAGTGCAGAAAGTGTAGGTGTTCTTGTTATGTAGTACTATATATATATATATATATATATATATATATATATATATATATTCCGTGTACAAGCTGTGTTATGCTCTAGGAATGATGTCACCAGTCAGACTGGCTTTTGTTAGGGGTGTGCGAAAATCAAAATTTTTGCTGACCCGCAAATCGCGGGATCGACCCTCGGCTGCGGCCACTGCATTTCCAGTGGAGGCAGAAATGATGTAGGCCCCTGTGCTCAGATATTGGTGCACGTTAAAAAACCCCAGGTGGTTGAAATTTCCCGAACCCTCCACTACGGCATCTCTCATAATCATATAGTGGTTTTGGGACGTTAAACCTCACATATCAAACGTCAATAGAATATCAAAATTTTCTAATAGTAATCGAGTACAAGTACATAGCTTCGAATACGAATCGAATATCAAATAATAAGGAGATGCAATTTTTTCACCAGTAATCTGTAGTTAATTATATATTTATGTAGGAAACGGTACACTTGTTAGCTGTTCCAGTCTGTTATTACAAAAAAAATCACCATTACCATAAGACTGTAATAGTTGAGTTTGTGACTGCGATGTCTTGCATGTTGAACAAACTTATTCCCATGTTGAACAAACTTTTTTTTTATGTGGTAGTACTTCATTTAAAACAAAAAAAAAGATTTTGTACCAAAAAGATTTTGTACCTGCCATGATGACTAGTGAACATGAGGCCCATGGTTTAACTCCTGTCATGGCAGCTGTATTCTGATTAGATGAAATGTAGTCTTTCACAGCCGTGTACCTGAGTCCAAGCAATTATTAAAACAGCCCAGGTAGTCACAATTGATCCAGGTGCCCACACTACCAGTTTTGGCTCGTAAGACCCCAGATCTTATCGTTTCTTTTTTTTTTATTTTCGCCCCTGTTCTTACCAATCCAGCCACTAAGTTAAATAGGATTACTTGGGGCATTTTTCAGCTTTTTTAATTTATCAGCTGATATGCCTTTTGCTAATATGTCTCTCGGATTTCCTTTGCTTGTATGGAAATGCCAAACAAAAGCTCTGTTGTCGCCTTGATTTTGGTCATCCAGTTTCTGACAAGGGCCTTCTTCGTTCAACGTTCGCTGATATGCCGTTTGCTAATATGTCTCTCGGATTTCCTTTGCTTGTATGGAAATGCCAAACAAAAGCTCTGTTGTCGCCTTGATTTTGGTCATCCAGTTTCTGACAAGGGCCTTCTTCGTTCAACGTTCGCTGTGTTATGTTCTTTTGGTATCTTCCAGCTGCTCCTTTATTGACGGGCATATGATTGATTGTGTCATTCTCCTTCACATGACTGCTGTCATCTTTGAAATTTTCCTTCCATGAGAGTCTAAATGTATAGCATCCTTCCTCCTTCATCTGATTTCTCTTGAAGTGCTGTAGCCTATGTTCACTGCACAACTCAGTTTCTTTGTAAGCTCTGACATGAATACTTTCCGAATCTGTTGGAGCCGCCGAAACACATTGCTCTTCTAAGCACGTTCCAAGCACAATGACTGCGGAACAGTTAACGGAAGTGGCCCTTAACAAAGGAAGCGGGCCTTGCACAGCCCATCCAAGCTTAGTGTGCACAGCTTTGAGATTTTTACATTTCTTGCACACACTTTTCATATTTCCAGTCACGAACCGCCAGTAGTTGTCTGAACCCACGAGTAATAAAATGAAGTTCCCGTTTTCTTCATTTAGGCAATTGTTTTGTTTTTGTTTTCATTTAGGCAAAGGGCTCATGTGTCCTATCGAGTTTTCTTCATCTTCCTTGTGACTTCATCATCTGGAATTGAAACGTGCTCACTACAGATGTCTTCTTCTTCTAAAGCTTCGATTACAATAAGTTCCTTCGTTTTTTTTTTTTTTTTTTCCCCAAAATGCTTACCCTTATCATAGTTTTGTGCATCTTGTGACCTCCGAATACCCCCTACGGTAACAGTTTCTATTTGCAACAGCTGGCAGCCAAGTTGGCAACATGTTTCGATGGTGATTTGGTGACCTCCTCTGTTGAAGAGTATTCTGTAGTTCCTTGACGACATCTTTCTGGCTATTCTGGTTGTCAATGACGGCAGTAGTATTGCAGGGCTCGCTTGTTCGGAGTGAAGGTTTACTGTTGTCATAGATGCGTCGTTTACCCTTTTCTGGAACTGCGGGTCACACATAGAGGTAACATGATGTCAGGAGCATCCATTGCATTTCTGTCTTGCTCTACATTATGCCATGTGACCTTGCTCGAGACATTGAAAACATTTCCCTGCTTTGGTGAGAATCATCTTCTTGTCTGCCAAACTCACTTAATTTTCGCAGACTTCGAAGCAATGCTTCGATGACTTACAAAACAGGCATAGGTCAGGCTTCCCCAACACACTTGATACAGCTGCTGCTGATGATAAGATACATTGCCCTTCTCGCTGTGGTATCTCTGCAGCTTTCTGGTCGACCACTGGCCTTTCCGGTTGTGCATATAACGCCAGAGTTTCTCGGCAGTGAAGCTGATGTTCGAAGTACTCTAAAAGTCTTTGCAGCTCCCTCTGCTTTCAATGTTGTGTCCTCTGGGTCTCTTTGCACTTGCGTCGTTGATCCCGCAGTGATCACCGGTGTGTGAAGTCATCGTCGGTGTGTGAAGTTCGTGGTACTTGAGCACTAAGTCTGATGGTAAGGCTTGGAAGAAAATTTTTCATAACATGGAGCAGTCGATGGAAGGGCTTGTTCCAAGCACTTTGAGACTCCTCACATGCACTTGTACTTCATCATGGAGCTCTAGAAGTTCGGTGGTGCTTGAAGACTACAAAACTGGCTGGAGATCTAAGAGGCTTCAAAGATGTTGCTGTATGATAATCCTCTCATCTCCGAAGCGTCTCTTGAGAATGTCCACTGCATCTTTATTGCACTCTTCCAAGGCTCTTGAAGGCCGGATATTGCAGCGGCACGTCCAGCGACAAGCGTGCTCAAGTAGTTGAACTTGTGGGCAATGCTGAGGTCGTCGTTGTTATGCACTACCGTCGAGAACTGCATTCAAAATCGATGCCATTGCTGTTGACTGCCATTTTTCTGTGTTCTAGTTGCAGCAGTCGTGACTGGACACCACCGACGGAAGCTTGGCTCATCATTGGGTGCGAGAATTGGGACGCACGTTCGTTCTGAATATGAATAGCAAAGCGAAGCCTTAACGTCAGCATGACAGTCTTGTTCTATAATAAAAAAACTGAGACAGTCAGAACTGTTATTCGAGACCAGGTAAGAGTGTAGGCCTAGCCAGCGAAATCAGCGACAACATCCGGGCCGAGCGTCTCGTGCTTAGCACTGACGATGTGTTTGCCGAGCTTTGCATCACCCACTGCTTCATTACGTATTTCCCCCTCACTGAAGATGGAGCCAAGTAAGTGTTCTAAGGTGTGAGGACAAGTGGTTCATGATACGGTTTGAGACGATCCACATGTACGATTTCGCGGCCTCGGCGACGCAGGTCCGCAGTGGCCGTGAGGGATTCGATGAGGTAGTTGACTGCGGAAGTTTGCTCTATGACGCGATAAGGTCCATGGTACCTGCTGACGAACTTAGCAGAGGTACCAGGAGCAGCAGTGGGAGGCACCCACAGCCAAACAAGAGAGCTGGGCGAAAATTGGTAGTTGGACCGTCCATCGTCGTGACGAAATTTTTGTAGCCCTTGTTCTTGTGTTGTAAGGGTGCGAGCTAATTGCCGACATTCTTCCGCATACCGAGCGGCTTCGGAAACTGGTGTACCTTCGGATGAGTCGGGTTGGAGCACACGATGGCCTAGGGAGCCTTAGGTAGAGGGCTTGTGGCAGATGCAGTGGTCATGGCGGCAGGTCGAGTCCGGCTTCGCAACACCAAGATTGTGAGGAGACTCAGCACCTCCACCAAATACAATAAAGAACTGAGATAGTCGGAACTGTTATTCAAGATCAGGTAGGAGCGTAGGCCTAGCCAGCGAAATCAGCGACAACGTCCGGTCAGGTAGGAGCGTAGGCCTAGCCAGCGAAATCAGCGACAACGTCCGGTCAGGTAGGAGCGTAGGCCTAGCCAGCGAAATCAGCGACAACGTCCGGGCCGAGCGTCTCGTGCTTAGCACTGACAATGTGTTTGCCGAGCTTTGCATGACCCACTACTTCATTACAGTTCTCGTAACTGCTCGCGTCAATCATTTCTGTCTCGATCAACTCATTGGGCGTCTTATCTAGGATGCTGTCATCGATCTTCTGAAACTGATTGTACATCTCCTTTATTCTGTGAAATAAAACCCTGACCTGTGATGATGACAGCTCTTGTTCCCGTAGGAGGCCTTCCACTTCTTGTATGATGATATCCAGGTGCGAGTGGAGGCACTTGCATCGTCAGAGTAGCGGTTCCATGGGTGAGTCAGCAGCCAGGAACTCTTCGCCAAAGGTTCAGGGGTCACAGTGCGACCCCTTGAATTGATGAGGTTGGCATCGTTTTGAAGGTTCTGTGGGGTTTCAGCACCATGTGGTGGACCTCGAGGTCTGCTGGCTACCAGGCTGTCGTTCAAGAACAAGAGATGGCATGTCTGAAAGGAGCGCTCATTTAGTGGAACAAGGAAAAAAAAAAAAAAAAAAAGGGGCTAGGCTTGGGCGGAAGGCGCAGCAAAGTCAAAGCGAAAGCTAGAAGAGCGGCCTTTCAGAGCCTTTTCTAAACATTCTTGTTCTTGTTGCCCTTCACTTGTGGCTCATACCCACTGTGGGGCATCGGCCAATAATTGAGTAGTCTTATAAAGCATTATTCTATTTTCGAGTAAAGGAACTTACAAATTGAAAACGTTACAAATTTTAGAATGAAATTTTGATGATCACTGATTTGTGCTTACTATAAAGTTTTTGTATGAGTGATAGCTAATCATCATCATCATCAGCCTGACTATGTCCACTGCAGAACAAAGGCCTCTCCCATATTCCACCACTTAACTCGGTCCTGTGCTTAGTAATAATAACCTAGATCGAAACCTAGCTTTAAAAAAAAAAGAGAAGTTATGCGTATGTCGACGCAGAA